CAGTCTGCACTACCAATCAATTCCGTAAATTGCTTATTTGTGTGATGTGAAACCTACTTTACACCAACAAATCTAATCCAGTTAATGGATTGGAAGTACTAGATGTTCTACTGTATGGGCATGGCAGTGTTTATGAAAGATTATGGCGATAAGCACGGACTACAGTATGGATTTTAGCAAGCTTAGGGGTTTATCTATATTCGTCAATATAATGAATTAAGACAGAACGATTCCCTGTCCTTGATCCTTTGTACTTTTTACACGGTTAAGTTAGAGTAGGTAGAAGGAAACTCTTCCTAGCAAAGACATAATCTCACAGGAAAGTTTAAAATGGCAAAGAAATCAAAGCAAAAGATGATGTACGTATGTATTCACTGTCTTTCTCCAATGCTGAAAGGAGTAAGTAATNTTAGGAGTTAGTAATGAAGAAGACAGACTTCTTTGAAACGTTCGTAAGACGGCTGTAAGTTTCGACAGCCAACAAAAGGACGTAGGGTTTAATTAATGGAGGTTGGCGGTTGCGGAGCCGGGTGTGGCCCATTAGTTGGGCAAACACCGTGCCATCACGCCAGTTTGCAATTTACTTGACCCCGTGTGTTGTCAGACTGACAAGTCTTTACATTTTATCGATAACTTGTCAATAAATCCCTGCAGTAGCAACTAGAAAACTTAAATATTGTTACTTAATAATCCCAATACATCATAAAAGGCCAAGTACAAAAGTGATTAACATTTCTACAGCATTGAATTTTTCGTCGCAAACTGGCTCAAGTCGGAGTTGTAAAAGAAAATAATTATACCTTACGAATTAATAACACATGTAAACCATGAGTCGAACTGTACAAAAATGATGTCGGTGATTGCGGCCTGAAATTACGAAGGCTGAATACTACGAATTCGTGTGGTGGTTACCAATCACTTTAATTACACTTGTGGCGCAATTTCTTTCATTCAGTAATCTCAACGTCTTTGGTGACTTTTTGAGAGTGGATGTAAGCAATAATCACTTAAAACTACTTGAAAATCAACCCTTGTTTAAGTCCCCATTCGCAAAAATTAATTGGGGTGACTGTCCCTTGATGTCCCTACTGTCCGGTGATTTCATGAGGTAAGGTATGTATCTACCTAACCTCATGAAATATCCCGTAATAAAGGGTGACCAAGGAGAAATTTTCCTGAAAATATTTAGCCATCTTGTGTGGCTTTCTTTTAATTACTTCAAAAATACTGTTCGTTCTATTTCTATTGATGAATCAACATTATTAAAATAACATTTCGATTCCGTTATAAATCAAACAAACATGAGATAGTTCTTCATGAATAGACGCTGCCGGCAGATAGCCACAATCTTAACCTAATTCCCAATCTAATTAAATAAAATGTGTTTTATACCTACTAAATCTCTGTATGACGTGTACATAATCTGCCATTAGAGTTGTAAACAGAGGGCCGGGCAGGTAGTGTTCCAAATTGCCAGATTTATGGGCCATACGGGAATCGGGGTCAGGAAGCATGTCCTTTGCTGGCATAGCACGCATTGCCACACATTTTGTTAATCACATAAAGTTGCGTGTATATTCAGAGAGAGAGAGAGATTTGCAAAATCGCATGGAGGAAAATTTTACTGAACGCGTGTTATGAGTCAACGCTCCCGTTCTAATAATAAACCTGTTACTAGTGTGTGCAACAATATGGATGCCGGACAAATCAAAATTAGATCTCGTCAGAAAAAATGTTTATAAGGTTAAATGGGGCAACACGTTCAGTCAATCAGAACCACTTCGAGTGATAAAAACACATGATCAACAAAGATATGGAATATTACAGAGCGCAAACATCTTAAAGTGGCTATCAAGTATTCCTTTCGAGATTTATCGATTTTTAGTTATCCATTAGACTTGCGTGCTGAAAAGGACATGCAAATTTGGTGGCAAAAAGAGGGGTTCCCTGGAAAGGCCATGGCAAGTCGGTCATCAGGTCACAGTACGAATCGCGAGGACGCGCCCAGAATCAGCGGCGCGCCCAACGGGAGGATACATTACGATCCTACCCCGCAATGCGACGTGCTACCCAAGATACAATAATATTTATATGATATGATAACTGAAGTGGAGATATTGTTTATTATTGTCATTAATATCAACACGTTCAGCAACGCGAAAGTTATAAAGTTCAAGCATAAAACAGTCGTTACAAATGTTATATTAGCCAAGTAGTAAAAAACGAAGATAGAGCGTATCAATGACGTAAGATTTATTTCGGCCATGACCAGTCCGACTTGAACGATCAAAAATCTGAAGAGATACTGCTGCATAATGTTGTGACGGCGCGGCGTGGCGCGGCGTTATTCGATTGTATTCTTGACAGCATATTATACTTCATCTTTCCTATGCATTTTTCAGATATACTATCCTATTTCAAATCTCAGCAAAATATATTTTCATGAAACATTTAAATGTACTGTCTGGAAATTATTACCTATTTATTTATATTATTTTTCTATTGTCCTTTGCATATATTTATGATCTATCTTAATTTTGATTGATGGTTTATTTACTTTAAGCCACTTTAAGTTAAACTAAAATTTAAAAGTCTGATAAAATAATAGCGAAAACAGACATAAAGCCAGAAACTATGTACATATTTATACAAAACTACAAACAAGCTGAAAACATGTAAAAGGTGCCTAGTAGAATTTAAAATTAATCTGTAGGTGTTTCCACAATCCATGATTATAGTAAAGTGAAGTGAACCATGAAAATACCAAAAATAATTGAAAGCATGTTTGTTCATATTTTTTAATACACCTAAGCTTACATTTTATTAAAACTTACTGAAATAAAGCAGGTATTCCAAGCCTGGAGCAGCAAGCATGATATTGGTTTTCTCTTAGCAAAATTAAATAATTTACATGTAAAATGAAATAAATATCTTTTGCTATTTGAATAAGATTTGTTTTAAGATTATAAACAATATCAATAAAATTAATATGTGTATGGCATGAACTTTATTTTAATGAAGAAAAGAAAACCTTATCTTTGTATGATTTTGGATCATAATAAAATCGTACCCAAATAATGAAATTTCAGATAATACGTATTTTACATAGATAAATAAATTAAGAAATTTAATAAATATAAATAAATCCAACTCACTTAACAGGAGTCCTGCTGGCAACACCAGTCGCACCAATAACAATGCAAAGTAGTACTTTGCCATGGTGTTGGCTGAAAAGGAATTTGTCACTTTGTGAATTAAAAAATAATTTACTGTAAACTGTACAAAGTATGTAGGTACCTGAGACAAAATCTTAACCTGATTATAGGCACTTTAATCCTTAAATTCTCAAACTAAACCGTTATTATAAAATAAAACGAAGAATAACTAGTACCTACTTAGGTTTGTTTCAGTTCAGAATTTTGTCACAGAAAAGGATTATTAATAAGTGTAATTTGGTACCATGCTCTTTCTCTGATCCGATTAAAACTATGTAGGCTAGAATAATCGTTAACACGATTATAGAGGCCCTTCTTATTAACTTTACTGATATTTAGCCATTACTTGAAATGTTTCTCGCAAGTTTACCCCCTGGTTTCCCGCGATTGTTGGGCACATTGGATAATAATTATTGATTATTTTCATGTTTAGTAAACACCGAGAGAACATTAAATTCAGTATTTATAGGTAAAATATTACAATTTGTTTCCTTTTCATAAACATGTGTGTTTTTATGAGAGGATATTCACAAACCTTTCTGTGTTTATTTAGATACGTTTACGTCACTTCATTAGCACACAACCACTTTAAACCGAAAGTCATAATAAAAGTGTTTCTGGCAAAATAAATACGCATACTTTGTGAACATTTTACGACATAGTTATTTAAATTCAAACAAAAACATGATACGTCCAACTGCATCCACACTCGTTATGTCAATGACAATTTTGACAATTGTTGACAGTGACACTATGCAAATGACATATTCCCACAGGAATACATATAGAATACCAACTTCAAATTATAAAATATTACTGAAATAAATAGTATTAAAAAAATAACAAAAAAATACTATTTTTTACCACTTTTACATTACATGGATGGGTACTAGGAAAAACAACATATAATTCCAATTTATCAAAAACAAGATCTTCCTACATTAGCTGTACGCGCGATGCGCGCGACGCGTATACGTGAAAATAGTTTGAATATTTCCCGTTTTAAAATATTATTATTTACTGCTCCGCCCCTGTTAGTGGTAGTAGGGTGATAATATTACGCCTTCCTTGATAAATGGGCTATCCAATACAAAACATTTTTTCAAATCGAACAGTAGTTCTGAGATTAGCGCGTTGAAACAAACTCTTCAGCTTTATTAATGTAAGCTATTAGTTAGTATTTATCACACGCAGCGTACGCGTACCTATATACCTGTAAGTTTTTATCTATAAAATAATCAAAGCTTAATAACATTCTGCTTTGATAAAAAGATAATTAATTTCGGGGCCCCAAATTAAACGAAACGTCACTTTCGACTTTATTGGTCACGGTTTCCTTTTCTTCACTAGCTAGCTACTCACTCTAGCTAGACTGTCTCGCTTCTTGATTATTAGAATGTACGGCGCCTTCTGAACTGTATTTTTCTACTAATACTACTAAATAATTTTACAACTTGCAACATTACAATAGTGCTGTGCGTTCCGAACTTACTGGAGAAGAAACTTTTCATGATACTGAAGAAAAAAAATACTCACAATTTTTATATTTTACTCAAATATTTCTTACACAAATACCTTTTATTGAATAATTTATAGTTTTAAAAAATGTGGTTATAAAAAAATGGTTCTGAATATAAATTTACTTTACGTAAAAGTAAAATCTTTGGCTAAAAAAGAAAGAGGTTCGGTTTTTGTACATCACTAGGCGAATTTTATTTTTATTGCGAATTAATGGCGTAGCCAGGTGAGTTTTCTTGTTTATTTCTTATTTCATTGCGTTCCAACGTTTTCAATTGTTTTGTCTAAATGTTTTTCATCGAGCAAAATATATAATAGTCTAAAAGTCAAAATTTTTTCACCTAACCCATTTTTATTACACGAAAAACCAATATTACGAGTAATGAACACGTATTGGATTTGTTCCGAATTTATTCGCTAGGATCATTGTCATCACTTTCACTTTTACACGATTTGCTATAATAGTGTTTTTAGTGTACATACGCTGCACTGGGGCGCAGTCGCCATGGATGAGTGAGTTTCCCGATATTTCTCTTGCTAGTCGACTGAATAATTACGGCAAGGTTACTCATATCCTCTAAAAAAATGTGACTATCATTGTTCGCTGCGAAACTCGACGCGTTTTGTTTACCGCTGTGTTGTTGCCGTAATGTGAATCTTTTTGTTTGAGCAGCACCATGTCGACCCTAACGAAAATGACCCGCACGGTTAAAAAACTGGAGGTGCCAAGACCCCTGAAATCCACCACCAGTTCCGCGCACAACCGCAACTCCGTGTTGGACGTCAAAATAAATTCTGGTAAGAATCTTATTGGAATCTCCCAATTCGTTAGCGATAATAACAAATCACATCTTCAAACAAATAATACAAAACTTTATTATTTTATGAAATCTGATAATTAGGTTTAAAACCATATAATTCAGAAATCTGTAATATAGCTAAGCGTAAGCGAAATATTATTGCACTTCTCAGATATCTTTTAATTGGTCCCAACAAAATATCTTACATTATTACATTATTGTAAAATGTATCATTAAAAAATATGACATTGTAATTTATGAACATTCTATTTCAGTTGATGACCTGATTGTCTTGACCGAAGCGGTGGCGTACCAAATGATGCAGGGAAACTATGATCGTGCACTTCAGAGCAATGTGGCCACTATGTACTCTAACTTGAAGCTTTACGGCGCTCAGCTCGAAGCACTTTATAAGGACTTTCTCGATAGGTTTGTTTTTATTGTAGCACACAATAACTTTATGCTATTTTGTAATGAAAAACAATGTTTCAATTATATCAAATATATTTCAGATACTTTGTTGTGTTCCGTAATGGTTCACAAGACGAGCGACTGGATAAGAAAACTCGACTTCATCTTCTTGAGCTGATAGAGCTGCGCGCCAAACTCTGGCAGGGCTCTGACTACATGAGTCAATACTATAGGCACCGCGGCACCCACGCTGAGGTAACATTAGCTAGGAGTCCTTTAGGTAAATATTCTTCCTCACAAACTTGGGATCAGGAATATAAAATTATGCCAGCACTGCATGTCTCATGCTTAATACTTCTATGTATTTAAAGGAGGGTATGTAATGGGTTTTATGGATATTTTATCTATTTTTTGTGACTTGTATGTAATGTGTAAAAATTTAAAGTTAATTGATTGTCATTTAATCAGATTTTATTGATATACAAACTGAAAGTTATATTGCAAAGGTTTTATTCTGAAGTTCATTCAATGCCATTGCATCTGCTTGTTAAATATATTTTAAAAAGTAATTTTCAACTTTAAATCGCATTAAATTCTTTTTTCTGTATCAACCGATCCAAGTAAACGTTCAAATTCCAGCCTCTTCTGGTGCCGACGATGGAGGGGTCGGGCACGGGTGGCTCGGTGTCCCCTACGCTGGCTGCGCCCACCGAGCCGCCCGCCCTGCTCGGCCCCGGAGAGGTCATCAAGCCCTCTGGCAAGTTCCCAAAGCCCACTAAAATACCCGGCAAGAACTACTCTAAAGACGAAGTCGTCATACGGAACGCTGATTCTGGAAAAGGTGAGAATGTTTTTAATTTATTACTATTGATACATTATATCATGGGCTGCATGATATGTTAAATGAAAGTTATTCGGGGAGACATGCATGAAGTCAATGTTACGCTTATCTTTAGTACTATTGACTTAGTGTTATTGTGTAGTTACCTTTTTATTATTATGCATGATAAGACTATGTCTGTAAACTATGTACTTTGGTTAATTCGAATTTAGGTTACCATTTTGTGCTTCAGTATTTTTGTTATGTTATATTAGTCAATGCAAATATTTGCTGCAAGACGCTGTTTTGATATCAACGTAAGCATGTTGAGAAAGGGCCTGTTTTATACAGAAGGAATATAGGTAGAAAATAATGTTTAAGACACATAAATCATTTGCAACAAAGAATACCCACCATCTGATTGGTTATTTCAAATAGAATAGGCCCAACGTTTGTGTTGATACGAAGAACAATGTATGTGCGTTGAGGCAGTCGGCGGCGTGTCTGAAGTTGTGTTGTGGTGTTGCAGTGATGGGTATCAAGGGCAGGCGGGTGCACATGATCGAGGAGCTAAGTGACACGATTATATCGTTTCAGCGAGGTACGAACACGGTGGCGCCGCTTGAGCATGGTGTGGCGGGCTCTTGTCTTGACATCTCTGTACTATGGACATTATTGTATTCATACTAGAGCTGACATCTCATACAATAAGATACCATAGTCAATAATAAAATATGTTTTTCTTTCTAACAAATCGGTGTGCGCGAAAATTGGTATGACATGTCTGGTCTAGAACTAATTAACTGATTGCTCCTTTCTCTTCTTCAATCACGTGTACATTTATATTATAACATCGATATTTGATACATCATTCCACTTTAATATCCATAAAACATTTTAAAATGACATTAACAAGTTTTGCCTCATTGACACTAATTGTTATGGCTGTGGTGGTCAATTTTCTAACAGAACAAGAAAACGGAATCCTATCTCACCGCCTATTAATCGCATATTTGGCTATAAGCTTACCAAAAACAATAACAGTTGCGAACTAACCTTGACAGTATTGATATGTTCAGATTTCATCTAAAAAATATTATTTGCTATGTTATAGTGAGCCCTGGGGCGAAGGAGCGTTTGGTTCAAATTACTGGACCCAATGAAGAGAATGTGAAGTAAGTAGATGTATACTATTTTTTACAGTAAAAAGTATTGTTCGCATTAATACTTTAATACTGTTTACGAGACTTCTATTGCATTTCATGAATAAATCAATCAAGTAGATTGTTTTGTAATCGAGATCACGCTCACGATTATAAAGTCGAGATTCCACCAATGCGCGCAACAGTGTTATTCTCTCGTGGAGTTCGCTGAAAAAAAAAACACTTGCAAAACGTATGCACACTCATGTAAGAAGTAGACTAGCAGTATTGCATTGCACATAACTTAGTTACGCATGCGATCTTAGTTTTTTAATAATATTCTTTTAGTGCAGTACTTTTGTAGGTATTTCAGTGATCAGTGCTATCATTGACATACTATACAAGTTCAGAGGCTGATAGATAATCACAATTCAGGAACAATGAACATCGCCTTTTGATTACTTCACTTCCCTTCATATTGAATAGATGGGTTCATCAGATATCGAGAAACAAAATCGGCACCGTTTTCGAATAAGACTAAGGTTCTGACTACAGTGGCGCCACCCTAATGCGGTAGTATTGTTGGCTCCAATGTTTTAATAATGTAATTGTATTCCGCAGCCACGCGAAGCACCTGATTGGGGATACGATCCGGCGCAACGCATCTCCCGTGCGTTTGGACGCGGGCACGGGAGGCGAGCAGGCGCTGGGAGCCTCGCGCGCCTCTCTCGACTCCACTGGCTCGGACGAGCCGCCGCGCAACCGAGAGGTAAGCTGCTAATGAGGGCTATCGTTTTAGCGCTCACCAGTTAGCGCCACTGTAGAGTAAGGTCCTGTCACTTGCTAGTAGCGAAGACAGTGGCACCAACTTGTGAGCGCTAAAGTGGTAGGAGGACTATCGCATTTGCACTCATCAAGATGGCGCCACTGTAGAGTAAGGTCCTGTCAATCGCCAGGGGTGCCAACTGTTAAGTATAAAAACGATAGCCCTCATTGTACTCCGATTATGGCCAATGCATAATGAGTCGTCTAGAATCTGATTATTCCACTTTGTTCACCTGGGTGAAATAATTCCTAGTTGAACAAAGGCGACAGACTTAGTCGATTCACTTCACCTGGAAAATAAACTAGTTGAAATGGTTCCGTGATGAAATGAGCACACTAAAAGTCAACTTTATTCACCCAGTCATCTTCTCAGTATCATCTCATACACTGATTTTCGTGGGCGCCTAGATAACTAATCAAAACTTTATTATTTCCAGAAGTCTCCCCATAATTCCCGGGCTCTGCTCCACAGCTTCTCTACGAACGATGCCGCTCTAGGAGAATATAAGTACACTGTGACTTTTGGGCAACATTCCATTAAGATCACGGGCAATAACTTGGATCTTGTGAAGGTAAGCCCAGCATGCCAGAGAGGGTGAATTTCTTTTTCAAAGTCATTATTCAGTGGCGTAGTTTAAAGTCGAAGGTTGATGTCTACTTTCTATGACCAAAAAAATCTGTGGTTTGACTGTTCCCATTTGTAGTGCACAAATTATATTCCCGTAATGTAGAATACGGTTCGCAATTAAATTCCAGCGAACGGCGAGGATCGGTTCAGCATTCCTCGAACTTCAAATCGGTAGCCCGATTGAGTTATTATCGCTGTTTATTTACCTGATACATGATAAATCGATAATTCATGGAATTTACATACGGGACTATTCCCACCGCTGCATCGCTTGTGTAGCCAGGATCTACAGCTTGACCGCCAATAAAAACCCAACCAGTAAAACTCAAGTCACGGGAATGAGGGTTTTCGCGAATGAAAAATCCGCCAGATGGCAATACGTAGACGCGAGGTCCAAATGCTGCATGATGTTGACAGATATGTCAAAATCCACCAATCACGCAGCAGTCAGACCCCACATCCACGTCCCGCCATCTAGCGGATCTTTCATTCGCGAAAACCCTCATTGACATCTCACTGTTTGTTTCGTTTGCAGACTGCAAAGCTAGTGTTAGACGAGTACTTCGAGAGCGCGGGCGCTTTGGAGGCGCTGGGCGCGGGCTCGGGCGACTTCTTCACGCTGTCGCAGCGGCCCGGCGCCGCGCTGCTGCTGCGCGACGACGACCTCAACGGCGCCGACGACGACGTCTTCGCGCCGCACCACGACCAGCCCGGTCAGTCACCACTCACCATGCGCACGCGCACAGAGAGACATAGGCTGGTTTAAGGCTTGATTTCCTCCTACGCTGACGTCGGTCGCGTACATCGGTCGAGCGTACGAATAAACACAATGTTCTATGAAGCACCGCTGACGCACGCTGACCGTCAGCGCTGATAGCCGAAATGTATGGAGCGTCGTCGGCGCCGAGAGATCAGCGTCACTCAGAAACGTTCCCTTCAATGAGGGCTATCGTTTTTATACCTAACAGTTGGCACCCCTGGCGATTGACAGGACCTTACTCTACAGTGGCGCCAACTGGTGAGCGCTAAAACGATAGCCCTCATTACATACATTTTGATTTGTCAGCGCCGACGATCAGCGAGCGGTCATCGCGATTCTAAAACCAGCCATAATAAACATTCTTCGTAGCAGTCAAACGAGGTTCTGATGCTGCTACTGGCCGTGATGACTTGATGTCAAACTCATACGCATACATATAAGGGTGGATTCGACCAGACAAGATTAAATATTAATCTCAGAATAAACTTGTCATTTTGACATATTTCCCATACTGAAACTGTCAATGTGCCAGTATACCAGGAGTTTTCTCGGATAAAAGTGGTAGAATCGGGCCTAAGAGAAACAAACGCTCTTCGTATTTAAGCGGCGATCTGAAACCCGGTTTTCACCAAGGCGGAGCAGAGCGTAGCGGAGAAGTGTTTTGAATAACCAATCGGATTTCCTTATTTCCACTTTTCTTCTCCGCACAACTCCGCTCCGCGCCGCGTCGCCACTACTGACAAATTTGATGGCCCAACACTTCTCCGCTCCGCTTTGGTGGAAACCGAGCTTGATGCTGCTACGTGAATGATGACCAGCCTGGCCAGTCACACAGATGCTCACTTATACACTGAACACAAATAGAGAGAGAACAGATACAAAATTCAATGGTACTATTTCTCTCACGTCATTTTGTATTTTCAGATTTGTCAAATCTTTCTCACTCAAATTGAGGAGCCGGCAAACGGCTCTGCTGTTTTGTCTACATCTTGGCATAATACCGAGTTGTTTACTTGATACACATCACGACCTATTATCATGCTACGGATGTTTTGAATGACACTCCAAGTGGCCTAACTAACCGCCCTTCCAGTCATTACAGATTGATTTATAAAAAGTTGTAGGCAATTTGTTGATTTTTTTGTCATTTTATAAAACTCGTTATTAATACATTTTCAGGAATATTAGTAAATGCATGGGTTTTGTTGATAAATTCGCTAAGCGAAAGCTTTACTATTATTTTATACTAATTTAATTTGTAGAGCGTAAAAACTGGCTGAGGTTTTATTTCTTAAATATGCCTAATTGCATGGATAATTATTAAGCATTATAATTTGAAAGGCATGATACGCGCAATATTCTGGTAGGCACAAGAGTGGTAGATCTTAGGCAAGTGTTTATGATTTGGCAGCGACTGACTGAAGCATGTCCCCCCTTTACATACTTATTATCGCATTTTATTGTACAATAGGATGTCATTGTCTCATAAAACTAGACTTATTAGGAGCCATTGTAAGGATATTTTATTCTTATGTATATTTATTTATGTTTACATTACTCATTGTTGTTATTTCCATATCACTACGACCACTTCGATCCAAGGGTGTGGCAGCATTTTTTCCAAATTTTGTTTAACAAGAAACATTTCATAACATAACTTCATTCATTATTATTAGTAAATTCATTTAAATCTAATCTGCCAAAACCTCATTGAAGATTTTGTATTAACCCAAAACATAAACCTATTCACATGCAACCGCGACGTTACCGACGACGACAACCGATATTTCAAGCCTAAAATGCGATATGGTCATCGAATCATTGAATTAATCGATAAAACCTTTATTATCGATTGAATTGTCGCTCTCAGACTGGTTTGACGATTTTGATAACAATTTATCACTACAGTAAATAAATATAGCATTTTGGTAACAAGCAAAAATGCGTTATGAAAATGTAAGTTGCCATTGCCATGAAAATTCCAGTTGGTGGATTTTGACATATCTGTCAATGTCATGTCAAAAATAACCAATCGTGCAGCATTTGGACCTCGCGTCTACGTATTGCCATCTGGCGGATTTTTCAATCGCGAAAACCCTCATTAAACTGACTGCAATTCATAGTTATGATATTTTTTGAAACTTTGTTTTGACATTCGTACACCAATCGGTATAATACGACTGACTTCGCTAGACTAAAGCCGAATTAATTCAATATCGGTTGTTCCGAGCCAGCGGTTGCGTGTGGTAGGCGGGTCGGAAGCGGGTCGGGTCGGGGTGGTCGGTGTAACTGGCGTTGTGTGCAGCGGCCGGCGACGGGGACGCCGCGCCGCGTCGTCCGCGCTTCTCGCGCGCTACCAGCACCGATAAGAATCAAGGTAAAGTTAACCACACATAACACTTCACACTGTCAACTCGTATTCACACACTCTTTGGACTGTACAACCCTTATTAACTCTAACAGAGCAATTTTATAACCTTGTTACAAACCAACGCCCGACGGTAAAAAATATCTCTGAGTTTTTATGGTATTTATTTCTTTCACCGTTGATTCTATTATTGAGAGACCAATCTTTAAAACAAAAGAATAGAAATCATCATGCCTATTGTCACTTGACATTTCGGTGTAAAAATCTGGGCCTTATTGTGTATCTGGATAATTATATTGTTTGTGAATACGGGTATTAAGTGTACCTATTGATCGTCGTTTGTATTTTCGTCCGGCAACTGTAACTTTACTGTAATGACAAAAATCGTCGTACCTATTTCGAATGCGCGCAAATTGATATTTTAAGGTAGCTGTTACAGTTGCGTTCGTAAATAAAACAAAGAATGCGCGAGGGTTGCCAGAATGATCTCCTAAATGATTTATGATCCTACGTCATAGCTAAAAAAACACATCAAAAACATGAAAAGTCTGTCACAGTTTTTATCTAGATTTGCCAGAAACCCTGAACACAACAAATGAAAATGATTTCGCGTTCTCTGTTTTAGTGTTCTTCTTTTCCTGCCTATTGTATCGACATCGTGCTCTATATTTTTTTCTGGCAATCCTACGTGAGCAAATTTCACAGTGCTCTAGTACAAAGTACGAGATCAATATTTTGATATTCTTAGTAAAATTACTTCGCTACTTATCTCTTCGTCTTTGATGTTACTATTACTTTCATCAACTAAGCAGCTTTTACAATATGTATTTTATCATTTATTCCATATTGTACTGTGTTCAGATATCAGATATGTAGCAAGGTAAAAAGATCTTATTCAGTATTTATGTCCAATTTTCTTCGACAACACTCTGTGAATAAACACGCTTTATTCATGTGTTTAATAAATATGTGTGTATTCATTATAATATTTATTGACATGTTTGTGCCATTTCGTATATCATTCATCGTCAGTCATACAAAATGCAGAAGTCAGTCAATAACAAAATATCCCTGCGACGCTTGCTTGCGGCTGATTTGTGTTTTCAACAGCTTACGCACAGTATGTCGAAAAATCGCCAATATTTCTACACGAATTAATTGCAGTTTGTGAAGACTAACTCGCAAACGTTACGATAAGATTATAATAGAGCACGTGCACGTCGCAAACTATCTACCCGCTTCAGATTAATATTTCGGGTGCGGCGCTACCATGCGAGCTCCGGTAATATCGATCGACGACAGCGACCAGCACGCCGAGCGCCTCGAGATTGAAATTTTAGCAGGCGGGCCGCGAGCGCAGCCGAGCATCGCACTCCCGGCGAGCTAACAGCATGCGGCGGCTAACGTCTGGCGTGTGTGCAGGTGGCGCGCCGGGCGCGCGGCAGACGTACACGTACGAGACGCTGGTGCAGTACGCCGACTCGCCGCTCAGCAAGCTGCCGCCCGCCGGGCTCGCCGCCTTCCCGCCGGAGCTGGCGCGCAAGGTAACGCTGCAGGCGCCGCGCCGCCCGCCCGCCCCGCGCCGCTGCGCGCCCGCGCCCGCGCCGCGCCTGCTGCCCTTCCGCGTGTNCGCTGCGCGCCCGCGCCCGCGCCGCGCCTGCTGCCCTTCCGCGTGTGGCCGCCGCTGCACCACCCCAACTACCTGGCGGCGCTGCTCTGCCGCAACTTCTACTGAGCGCGGGCCGCGGCGCGGGGCCGGCCGGCCGCCCGCCACTGTGCCCGACCTTTCCTTCCGCAGCCCTCGCAGCCCTCGCCCGCCGGCGACGCCTAGCCCTCGCCCGCCGGATCCTCTCTCCCTCCCTCCCGCCCCGCCCGCCCGGCGCGAGCGGCGCCCCGCCCTGCGATCCGAGTCGTCAGGACGTAACTCGTGTCGCTTCGCCCTCGCGCTTTCGAACGGCGAAACTTTGGAATGTGTGTTCGGTTTCGAGTGTAGATCGGTTTTTGTTTTGTGGTGCGGTAAATTTTCTGGTTCCTCGGGAGGTAACCTAGATTAATTTACGTGGAGGTGTGCCCGACGCATATTCGATCGTTTCGCCGAAGCTAACGCACGCTCTGAGCTTTATGCACTCGCATGTACCTCGTTCACATTGAGTCTGTGTTCACATTTTCACATACTGACCTATAACAGATATTGTAATAACGCTATAAACCAAATTTTTGTATTGATTATTAACTACCAAAACTTAATTTAGTTCTATTGGGAGTTAAAATTGTTAGTGATAGTTGTGCTTATGACAACTATATCGTTAATATTTTCTTGATTGTTTCACAAATTACGTTATAATGTTGATAATTATATGATAATGTTTAAATGACTGAATCGCAAACAATGATCTCTTAATAATCTCTCGTGATTTAAGACTGAGTAAATTCGCAATTAATATTTTAGAAAGAAATATAAGTCATAGACTGATTTTATACAAGTAGTATATAGTATTGTATTGACTGTTGAATATTGATGAATCTTTTATGCAACGTTGTTTACATAATAATTTTGAGTGTGTGTGTTTATAAAGTATTTATTGTGATTTATGCTGATTTAAATTTGTTCTGTTTCTTTCATGCCGCTTGGATAGAATGGGTATTCGAGAGGGGTCCGCAACAGGTAGAAAATAATAGGGCGTCTATTATTTTACTCGAAAGTTCAAAATTTAAATGTTGACCATTATATATTTTCACGTGTTGTTATATTGTTGCTTTTGTTCTATGAGTAGGTATGAAAATTAACAGTGTTATTTTCTTATGATAATATGATTGTCAATTCATAAATTTTCAAATATAAAAATTTAAAAATAACATGTCTTTGCTTGCTCTCTTCCGCTTTCCAACTAACACCTCCTAACTAAACTTAGTAATTTGACATTTGAATCGTACTTTTTTTTTATTTATAACGATGATAACTTCTAATAATTGTAGTTAAATAATGTAACATTTATCTAAATTAGGAATCGCAGAGACTTAGTTCAGATGTCAAAATACTGACTGTAAAACCGAACCATAACCTACACAATACATTATCTCTAACAAGAAAACATCTAACTGCTGCTTTACTAAAAACTAACAACTTGCACCAAATGGGTTGAACGCGAGGTATACATTTATGTTATCTATTGATTTAATGCAATTTTGACGAGTGTTTGACAAAGTCGGTAAGCGCAATGTGGTTTGAACAGAGTTGCCTGGAGTTCGACAGCGCCAGCTACCTGAAGAAGGTGCGTGCGGCGGCCGCCACGCCCGTGGCCGCGGTGGACGCGCCCGACTCGCCCGAGCCTGAGTAAGGCCCGCGCCCGCGCCCGCGCCGCTCGACACGCCCGAAGCTATTAGGGTTTAGGAGCACTCACTCATACATCGTAGACGCACTCACGAGCGACGTGTCGACGCGCACTCTCACGCCGGCGTTTACCCGTGGTCCCCCCAACATGTCCCCCTGGTGGGTCCACGGGTAATTTTTTTTAACCCGTTGTCCCACCGTTCTGAACAGTTTTTGCCAGTGGGTCTACGGGTAATTTATTTTAACNTACTTACCTACATACGTAGGTCATTATTACAAATAAGTAGATTAATTATTTTTTCACTAGACAGCAACCCTAACAGCGTAAGAAGAGTTCAGAGGCACGCGATAGAAAGAGACAAAACTTGTAGGTGAATAAAATTGTAGGTACGTAGTGCTGTGCGAGCTGAATTTCACTGTATCGCGTCGTAGCAAGACTCGCATTTATTTAAATCGTCTTGCGGAGTAATCCTTCTGTACCTGTACTATTACTTATTCTGTGGTAAAAGCGCCACATTCAGATGTAGGTATTATTTATTTCACGCTAAAGCTACTAGGTACTATCGGGGACTCGGACGCCTTGACACCTTAAGGGCCTAAATTGTTTGCACACACACGCTCGATTAAGCTACGCCCCCATTCATTCATGTTTCGGGTCTAAGCAGCGTCGGCGCACCACTGTAGATGTTTGCCCTAGCAAACCAAGCTCTATGTAAACCGTTTAGGANATTTTAACCATAGTCCCACCGCACAGTGGTAAACGTTGCATGTCACCTAGGTATAATTATAAAAAAAACTATAATTATTAATTAGAACTGGCCCCATAGCAGACATTTTCCTACATCTAAAGGCCTTTTGAAATATATATTGGTTATGGCTATTGGAGCGGGTACCACTTTCCATACATTTGTGCCCATCATCCTTTACTTTCAATTTTATTCCAAGAAGAAAATTTATTTTATTTTATTTCCAATTATTTTTTAATTAAAATTGATGTAAAAAAGAATATACTTTCTATTTTATTTTATCGATTTTTTTCCAAGAATATGAGGTGACATGCAACGTTTACCACTGTGCGGTGGGACTATGGTTAAAATAAATTACCCGTAGACCCACTGGCAAAAACTGTTCAGAACGGTGGGACAACGGGTAAAAAAAATTACCCGTGGACCCACCAGGGGGACATGTTGGGGGGACCACGGGTAAACCCCGCTCACGCAGCTTCGGCAGCCACGTCGACGTCAGACCCCGAGGCTCGACGCGGCCCGGCGTCCGTCCCCCTCCCGTCCGACGTGCGGCGTGCACGTATCTTCACTCATTACTAATTTAGTTGATTTATTTACAAGTATTAGCACACCAAAATATTTATTTTTGTAGTGGTGGTATAGTTAACTCGTCTTCGTTTATTTTGTTTTTCGTTTACATTGGGGTCTTTTGCGATATTATTGTGATACGGAACCGCGTTGGTTACCGATTGTTAGTCCCCGGCGTAGGTTGATCTCCAAGTCTTATTGCTACGCTCGACGCGAGCGGTGACCGCCGCGAGCCGAGAGTATCCACGGAGATAGGTATCTCCGATACACACATAACTGAAAATGACATTTGGCACAAACAAGTTTATTAAACTTTCCTCTTTAAAATCCAATAAGTATCATCTAATTTTGTTGTATATATTTTGACTCTGCTAGCATCGGATGTCATGAGTGATTCCATTTATTTTAAGAAGAATGCATGCATTTCTTTGTGTGTTTGTTTACTCATTTTCAGACTTTGTATCTAGTGTCTAGTCCTGACGAGTAGATGTGTCGATTCTAACTAAGTAAGTGTTTTTGTATATTTCAAAGAGAGCCTGTCAATCAAAAAATATAAATTTATTTATATTACTTTATGTTAATTTTCCCCTACTGTAGTAGGAAGGATAAATATAGGCTTATTTACATTGTTTACCCAGAGAGATGACTATAAATTGTTATCATTGTTATGTACTAAAGCTTATAATTGCTGTGCACTAAACCAAATAATTTGTTAAAATTATAGTACCTATACTAACGTGTAGAATATTATTTATGTGGCGGAAGATATGATTGCCAGGCTTTCTTATTATAATCTAGTAGCCTGTATAAGAACTTCAATTAAATTTTCTACAAAACAAATGGGTATATTAGATACATATTTTATTTACATACAACTCGCTCTTTTTACCACCTGAATTTCTCGGCAAAGCCGAACAGAACCCCAATACAAAGCGAGTTGATTATCAAAACTTCCATTTATGCAATAATATTATTCTTTCTCTATATTATCTTGGTGCTTATTACTTTGGAAAAGTATTATCGTTGATTATAATGAAAGATTTATGTTTACATTTTCTTTTTTTTATCATTAAGTAAGACACGGCTATATTGTGAAAATTGATGATATACTAAATTTTCTACTAAATATTTGTTTTATTTTGTACTCCTTAGGGTAAAAATCATCATTCAAGGTAATTTAAATAAAATGCTCTTTAAATATTAATTTATATTTACAAAATAAATACATAATTTGTAACAATACAACAGATTCAGCTTTGGATAAACAAGTTATTTAATTTTATAATAAGGTATGTACTGAATTAGATTGATTTTATTGAACACCATTACGCCAGCTTGCGCTCTAAATATAATAATAATATTGTCTATAAAATGGAATGCGATTGCATAAAATATTAATAAAAGCTCGTACACAGTAAATGTTAATTACATAAAACAAATGCATTATTTTCACAGGTAAAACTATCAAAGATGATAGGATCTCTTTCTTTAATCCCATGTGATATAAAATCTATTTTTTTTTTAATATTATTTAGGTGGGCAATAATTTGTGATATTATTCAGTAGGTAGCTAGCTTTCCGTGATAATTTAGTCGGGGCACATTAACGAGATTTTTTTACATTAATCGACTCGACTGTGAATGTTTTTACATGGATGATAAAAATGCAGATTGGCCTTTGGCACATTATACCTGTAAAGGTACGGAACATATCACGTGTGGAAGTTTCTGGATTCGGTTTTATGCACCTACATGTGAACGAACAAGCAATAGCTACATTTTATTTATAAAAATTGTTCTGCGGCATTAATGAAAATAGCAAGTTAATGTATACTGATCAAACAATCGCTGAATTACACTTTAAACCTTATAAAATTAACTATATTTGATATTTAGGCTATTACGGTGCGCTATTTCGTATTATGTGAGTCGTCCATCACTCGAGCAATGTCAGGAATGTGAGAATCAGCTTTTTGATCGATAATTAACTTTTAATTATTGTACACGATTTCTACCTCTCACTTGTGCTATTACTATTTTTGCTTAGATTTAGTATTGGACCTACTTCGAATCAGTTTCTCTCGGCTAGCTTGTCTGTGATGTTAGCAGCTCTCGACCGCGCGTGTTGCATTATATCAATTGCTAAATCTTCTATATTAGTGTACCTACTTTTTTGGAAGCTAAATATGTCAGTGATGAACCCCACTATTTCTGATTGGAAAGATTCGCAAACGTCCCGAAGTCTTTCGCGAGGTCCTAGGAAGCCCCATACGAGGACTGGAAGCAAGTGCTCGGATATCGAGTAGAAATGGGACATAAACCCGTCGGGGTATTTCAAGTAGCGTCGTTTCGCCTTGATGACTGACCACACAGCTGTCGTTAATGCCTGAAAACAGACATTAAAATCTCATCAAAATTATAAGACTTCAATATTAAGTTTAGGTAGAGATTCCATATGACACCACAGGTGGTATTTTTTTGATGGTGTCAAATGGAAGGAATGGGTTTCCTTAATTGCGCTCACTGATGGGCGCCACTGGCGAATAACGTCCTGTAACACGTTTGTAGCTAAAACAGTAACTGGTGAGAGCTCTGAAGCTCCTATCGCACCAAGTTTCCACTATCAAGAAGGTACTAACCCCAGTGGCGCCAATTGGTGAGCACAATAATAAATATGGAAACCCTCATTCTCCTCCCATAGCAAAAAAAATGGTCCTCTTCAAATCTTAGACACATGAACAAAACATAATTATTGTATAGTAGGGGTTTACAATTTCCAGTACACCGATGACTGAGTGCGTTAAAGATGTGTACTCANAAGGACTGGAAGCAAGTGCTCGGATATTGAGTAGAAATGGGACATAAACCCGTCGGGGTATTTCAAGTAGCGTCGTTTCGCCTTGATGACTGACCACACAGCTGTCGTCAATGCCTGAAAACAGACATTAAAATCTTATCAGAATTATAAGACCTAATTTTAAGTTTAATTTACAACACATTTTTGGGTGGATTTATAAATTAACGCCAAATCTATGTAAAATATTTTTTCTATAAAAGAGCGTTCGATTTCAACAAGGAGCTTACTAGTTGGCGCCACTGGCGAATAACGTCCTGTAACTCGTTTGTGGCTAAAACAGTGACTGAGGGTTTTTACGATTGAAAAATCCGCCAGATGGCAATACGTAGACGTGAGGTCCAAATGCTGCATGATTGGTTATTTTTGACATGACATTGACAGATATGTCAAAATCCACCAATCATGCAGCATTTGGACCTCGCGTCTACGTATTGCCATCTGGCGGATTTTTCAATCGCGAAAACCCTCATTAAGGAAACCCTCATACTCCTCTCATAACAAAAAAAAACGGTCCCCTTCAGATTTTAGATACCTACATCAGCCTACATGAACAAGACATTGTAGATGATTAGGGGCTTACAAATTCCAGTACACCTCGGTACACCGATGACTGAGTGCGTTAAAGATGTGCATTGTGTACTCACGCTCTCCTTGAAGCCGTCGGAGAGCCAGCGGTTGCGCACGACGGCGAGCACGGAGGAGGGCGGCGCGGCGAGGTCCTCGAACGCGTCCAGCAGGATGTAGTCCAGCACCACGTCGTAGAACGTCAGCGCCTGCGCACGCCATGAAATTGGAAAACCATAAACATAACTTCTAAAGAAACGGGACTATTCCCACCGCTGCAATTCAGGTGTAGTCAGAATCTACAGCTTGACCGCCAATAAAAACCCAGGCAGTACCTATGAAGTGAAGGTCAAGTTTTATTATTATGAGGATTACTATACATTTTTAACCTAGTGTTTGTTTGGTAGAAAATACAAATCAAATCAAATCTCACCTTTACGCCTTTACTGTACAGTTCGTCTTCAATGGTAGACCAGTTAGCAGCGTCTGATGTCCATGATACCATTTCTTCGTATGCGACCAAAAATTCCTTTGGTTCCTGCAAAAAGAAACATTATTAATGGCATCGATCGATCATGGTGGTGGTAAAAATCCACGAACTGATTCGATGATTCAACGCAACAGAGATAAAGTGTAGGTAATTTTAATCAGGCATAATGGGCTCTCTTATAGACCTGTAACACAGGTATTCATTTACCTAGCTCAGGCTCCGGTCTCACACAATCATTAATGAGTTTTCTTTAATGTATTGTACCTATATTGTATCCTGTATTTTTGTGTGAGAAATAAATAAATCTTATTATTATTATCTTATCCAGCCTTCGAGCCGGATCACATCCTTTTTTTATGGCAGGTATGTAGGAACAAAACATTTTCAGGGGGAAGAGGCAGCTGCTTTTGGGTCACTATGTCCTGCTAAACACCGCCATCTGCGGTGGCTCTCATCACATAGTGCTTCGGTGGCTTTACCTACGCTAAAGTCCGGTCGCCGAGCACGTAGAATTTCGTCCAATGACCCCAAGATATCCATCCTTATTTTCGCGCGTAATTATATTGCTATCGCGAATGTGCAACGGGCGGCCGTAGTGAATGTGCGAGCATGACGACACCAATATAATTACGCGCGAGCGATAAGGATGGGTAGCTTCGGGTCATTAGACGAAATTCTACGTGCTCGGCGACCGGACTTTAGTTCTGATCATCGGCCTGTACAACACTCGCCTTGTCGGCGTACAGCAGCAGGTCGGTGAGCACCTGGCGGCCGGCGTCCACGAACCAGCCCCAGGCGGCGGCGTCGCGGAACACGGCCGCCAGCGCGCGCCGCACGCTCCACAGCTTGCACAGGAACTCCGCGTCGGAACCGCACTGTAGGATCTCGGTGCGGAGCGTTCTAAGGAGAGCAAATCAAATTCTTTAATGCAAGCGAGACAAAGTACTTATCAGTCAGACTACGCAAGACGTCTACGTCGACGACTACGTGAGCGTATAGCTGGCCGACACTGAACCATCTCAACTATGATATTCACAGGAGGACGCTACTATTAATACTGGATTTTTAGTTCCGATTTATGCCACGTTGGAAAACCTTAAAATTATGACATTTAAAGGAGGGCGCTATACGATCAATACTGTTATTATTTTCAATTGGTGTTTCAGAATCGTTGGACTATACTACATAGGTACTTACAACCCGATCGAGCTAACTGTGCAGTGCGCACCTCGCTGGAATGCGACTCCTCCTCCCACTTACCCCGCATACCTCGCGTTCGCCCCGTCCGTACCAGAGCGTCGACGTAACGTCACGGCTACCAGGTGCGCAGTTAACTTGACCGGGTTGTAGAACTTGGGTTGACCGCCTCAATTCTCGCTACACGGTCTATTAGATACTATGATAATAACATTTTAAGGAATTTGATTACCTGTATGGTATACCGGAGTCCAATTGTTTTAACGCCATTTGATATAATTCTAAATTTTCTAATTCTGGTAGTGCTTCTGTTAGGTCATCGAAGTCTCTGAGATCTGCAACCTGTAATGCAATAAAAATACCATTTATGTAAATTACACTTTAAAAATAACTAAAACATCAAATTACAATCACTATCATCACAAAATAGCGTTGCGAATGTTGCGATGCGACTCCAGAAAACGTCCGTCGCCTCCAAGTGTTCGAGCTAAAGTGAGTCGAGCGAACTGAATCGATTCTCGGCCTCGCACCCTTCCAAAAACCGATCGGTCCGGGTTTCACGCCGGTGGCCTATTCACAAACGATGCTTACTTAAGTGAAGCAGCAAATCTAACAGCGTTGAATGGAGCTCTGTGATTAATTCGTGTGTCACCCTGTGCGTCCACGCGCACTGAGAGACCTCAAAGTAAANAGTTCTGATCATCGGCCTGTACAACACTCGCCTTGTCGGCGTACAGCAGCAGGTCGGTGAGCACCTGGCGGCCGGCGTCCACGAACCAGCCCCAGGCGGCGGCGTCGCGGAACACGGCCGCCAGCGCGCGCCGCACGCTCCACAGCTTGCACAGGAACTCCGCGTCCGAGCCGCACTGTAGGATCTCGGTGCGGAGCGTTCTAAGGAAAGAGAAAATCAAATGAAGCCACGATAGCCGACCGGTGAAGGGGTTAGACTGACCAACTCGTGATCCGGGGAACGCGGGTTCGGCGGTCCTCGGCGCCGCTCGACTATTGTGGTGAGGTCACAACACAAGCATATTAGTTTAGTACGAGGGGCTAACGGGACTATTAGTAATTTGTGCAATAACAAATTACTAATTAATCTTTTATAACAAAAAAAAACTTTTATTATCGACATTTCCGCCGTAGGACGTCCACTGCTGAACATAGGCCTCCCCCAATGATTTCCACATCGCCCGATTGGTATCGCCCTGCATCCACCGCCATCCTGCTACCTCCATGAACGCCCTGCCCACTAGTACTTCAGCTTGCTAATCCGTTGGGACATGTCAGCAACTTTAGTTCGTTTACGGATCTCCTCATTTCTGATTCAATCAAATTCTTTAGTGCAAGCCAAACAGAAAACACCAGTACTGATTAGTGTTTTCTGTAGTATGCGGCGAGCGCTTAGCTTATGTTGATCGCCTCAACTCTCGCTGCGCGATCAATAGGTAGGTACTATGATGATATTTTTTAAGGAATTTGATTATCTACCTGTATGGTATACCGGAGTCCAATTGTTTTAACGCCATTTGATATAATTCTAAATTTTCTAATTCTGGTAGTGCTTCTGTTAGGTCATCGAAGTCTCTGAGATCTGCAACCTGTAATACAACGAAAATACATTTTATTTCAATTAATGTTTATCGTGATGATTATCGTGTTGTGATTCGACTCGAAAGTATAGATCGTTTCATCCAAAGACGCGCAATAACACGTTAAAATTAAGATCCACGAGTGCACGCACACTACAATAAATTAATGACGCTCAGATTGCTCCGATCAAACTCCCCGCATCCCGCGTTTTCCTCGACCAAAAATTGGTGGGGCGCGTCGTCGTGGATGAAACGATCTATACGTTTGGATCCGCCAAGCGCAAAAACGAGTCGCTGAGCCGAGTCGATTGCCCCCTTCCAAAGTCGAGTCCATCGTCATAAATAGGTAATTAGATCATACCTGGTCCTCTGCCGAAGCGAAGGACTCTGCGCTGGAGTGGTGATCACGACGCGTGTGTTCCGAGCCCGTGTGAGTGGATAACAAGCGCTCGCGCCGCGACGCCGCTGACGCGCCCGAGCCTGCGCCCGCGCCACCGCTCTCGGAGCGGAAGAGAACGGACCGCTGGTCTAGGAATAGCAGCTCGCAGCGCTCCTGGAAATTAATAGATATTTTGTTGGTGATACAGTTGTTGATCGAATCAGAAATGAGGAGATCCATAAACAAACTAAAGAGCCCGACAGATTAGCAAGCTGAAGTGGCAGTGGGCAGGGCACATAGTACCCTGACGGCCGATGAGGCAGCAAGGTTCTGGAATGGAGGCCGCGTACCGGAAAACGTAGCGTGGGACGTCCACCCACAAGGTGGTCCGACGACCTGATAAAGGTAGCAGGAAGGCGCTGGATGCAGGCCGCTACCAACCGTGCGATGTGGAAGTCATTGGGGGAGGCTTATGTTCAGCAGTGGACGTCCGGTGGCTGAAATGATGATGATTATGACAGTTGTTGTTGTTGCTAGTTACTGATTGGGTAAGTAGATCGGCACTTTCAGCAGCGATGATTTTTGGGGCGCCCGGGCGGTCTTGTTAACTAGGGCAATCGAATTGATCTGCATGAAACGGTTTCTGCTCGACTCTGAACATCTCGATTCATTGCCATAATGAGCATGATTGTGTCAGTTCAATCTAACGTTGCGTTGCGATACGTACCTACCTATGTTATGCCCCTGTACTAATAGTAGTAGCAGCTCCCAGGCCTTCCATTCTTATGAATAAACTATTTTTTTTTAATATGTAGGTCCTACCTATAACATGATGAGTACCAAGTGCCCGATGATACAACTGGGCGATGCCCCCTTAGCATTCTCCCAGGAGTCCCAATAGCCTCTGTCACTCATGGCCTGTTATTGCCTGTTTAATAATACACCTACCTGCAACAGGTACGCGTTCTGCAGTAAGTCCTGTATCTCGCGGCAGAACTCGGCCTCCTCGGGCGACGTGAGAGCGAGCGTTCCCGAAACACCGCCGCGCGCGCCCAGAGAGAAAGCGGCAAGCGCGTCCTCCCAGTAGTTTATACTCAAGGTCTTACATCACCTACCTACACAATAATACCTACCTGCAACAGGTATGCGTTCTGCAACAGGTCCTGTATCTCTCGGCAGAACTCTGCCTCCTCGGGCGACGTGAGCGCGAGCGTTCCCGAAACACCGCCGCGCGCGCCCAGAGAGAACGCGGCTAGCGCGTCCTCCCAGTAGTTTATACTCGTTTCTAGGGCTTCCATGCCTGTGGACAATGAGTGTTGTTTTAGTGACGCTTAGACAAATTTCGGATATGGCGTTTGGTATGCTCTTTATTAAATGAGGTTTGTAATATCTTGAGCTAGATATGACCTGTCTCGGTCATTTCTTGTTATTATTTCTATTTGGTAATGGATAAAAGGAGAGGCATAACTTTTACCTACGCCATCATATTTTTAGCAGTAGGTACCTAGAATATTATTTTATGAATGCTTTCTTATACAACTTTTTATACATCAAATAAAACTACTTCTCGTAAATTAACTGATTTATTATAAAAATACTGGTTTTGATAAATCATAAAACAAGTTTTCCTAACATTTATATTTACCATGGTAGTATNCTCACTCATGGCCTGTTATTGCCTGTTTAATAATACACCTACCTGCAACAGGTACGCGTTCTGCAGTAAGTCCTGTATCTCGCGGCAGAACTCGGCCTCCTCGAGCGACGTGAGAGCGAGCGTTCCCGAAACACCGCCGCGCGCGCCCAGAGAGAACGCGGCTAGGGCGTCCTCCCAGTAGTTTATACTCAAGGTCTTACATCACCTACCTACACAATAATACACCTACCTGCAACAGGTATGCGTTCTGCAGTAAGTCCTGTATCTCGCGGCAGAACTCTGCCTCTTCGGGCGAAGTGAGCGCGAGCGTTCCCGAAACGCCGCCGCGTGCGCCCAGAGAGAACGCCGCTAGCGCGTCCTCCCAGTAATTTATACTCGTTTCTAAGGCTTCCATGCCTGTGGACAATTTAGTGTTGTTTTAGTGACGCTTAGAAAAATTTCGGATATGGCGTTTGGTATGGTCTCATCAAAGATACTCTCGGTCGGTACCTAATGGATAAAAGGAGAGACATAACTTTTACCAAACGCCATCATATTTTTAGCAGTAGAATATTATGAATGCTTCTCTAGCAACAAGTACATTTTATACATCAAACTCTAAATACAACTTTTTATACATCAAACAAATAAAACTACTTCTCGTAAATTAACTGATTTATTATAAAAATAGGTTTTGATAAATCATAAAACAAGTTTTTCTAACATTTATATTTATCATGGTAGTATAAGGAGGTACTTTTTAACGTAGCTGCCATATAAGTACATTGAAACATACAAATAATAATAATGACTGAATCCACCATTTTTGGGTAAAGAAATTTGATTTATTGCCACTACCCAATTCTGTCAGATATTTCAGTGTTTTAACATGACTAGGTGTTCCCTAGGCTAGGATCCTAATGAAACATTAAATAATAAAGGAACACAATTTCCAGGTCATTTAAATTAGCACAAACTCAGGTGATTGAAACCTCTGTGGGTGTGGCTCCATCTTGCACACATAGCATGGTGTGTCCATCTCACATTTGCTTAACTTAAAGTCCACAATTAATTATTTATAGGAAAACATCCTTTATGTCAGGGCCATTAGAATGCATTTGGTCAGAAATGGGGTGAAGCCTCTGTATATGAGTAAGTGTCTGCTGCACCGCCGCGCCAATATCTTGCATGGAGCCAGCTAGCACAGTTAATGCGTCCACTGCTCGCTCGCTCAGATCGCATCGTCGTTCTGAGCCGGCCGCTAAGGTTTCCAACGCGGCCGCGATGCGTTCTTGAGCCGCAATGCTTCGTTCTTCGATATCCATTACCCATTTAGGAGGTGGCGAAGAGGGACTTCCATCTTCATCTGAAAAGAATGATCAGTAGATTATTAGTCATTAATATTAAGTACATGGAGACAAATAAAACTTAAATACAGACTAATCTTACTTTGAAGATGACTTTACATTAGTTCAGAAGTAAATGTTACAAATAATTATAGCATTAATTAATTTCTGAAGTATAGACTAAGTAATTCATTTTAAAAAAATGTTTCCTAAAAGTTTAATGCTGATAGTTAAGAATTTTCTACAAGAGATAAGATTGCCAGTATTATGGGAATAAGAATTCTAATTCGAATTTTATAATTATTATAATATTAAAATAAAACTATAATATTAAGACTATAATACAAAACAAAATACATACCCACGGTCGATGATCTTGACATTCTCTTAATTTTAACTTTAGTCTCTAATGTGGATTTAGTTTTAATATTTGCAAATGGTTCGGAATCTGAATCGTCTGATGAAGAGTTATCCTGTTGTTTGGATCTTTTCTTTGAAGATCCTAGTGACCCTTTCCCACTGAGGGCCAGTACTCGGACTTCTAAGTCATCTAGCGGTATAAATCTACTTGAGGAACCATCTGGTTGTGTTTGATATCTCCTTGCATCTGCAGCTTTTTTTCTGCATTTGTGACGCCACTCGAACCAATACTGAAAAATTAATGGTACTAAATAAATAAATATCCTTGGACATTTTACACTGCGTTAACTAGTCCCAAACTAAGTAAAGCTGTACTATGGGTACCAGACAACGGATATAGACATACTTACTCGAATTTAATCAAATAAATAAATAGTTTCTTTGTGAATTAAAAGTAATATAAGTCTTAAAGTTACAGCGTTAAGTACCTTTTTCCAGGATTCAGGTGTTTTTAGCGAGCCATCAGGAACAGCATTGAGTTGCTTGCCCAACGCAGCCCACTTCTGTTTCGAAGTACTGTGGAGCGAGGGCGCGCCGGCCGGCAAACCATGGCACATGTCTGTGTTTACTTCCAAGTGATCAATTAGAATTTCCAGCTGTTTCCGTGATATCCTACGTGGAGGTGCCATCTAAAAATTAAAAAATAATTAACTTAATACATTCCGAGAAACAAGAATATTGGTTTCTATGCTAGATAGCCTCTCAATTTAATCAATACTTTGTTACGTAAAGCGTTTTCAATACTTACCTTGTGTAACTTAATTCAGTAAACAATATTTTATTAGACCCTTAGATTAATAAAACCTTAAATTAATGGTTTTATTAATCTAAGATTAGACCACAAGATCTAACTATTTGGAAATTACTTTATCGCGCGCTGTTTGTTTGACACAAGCAATCTCCATCAAATACACACAATGCAAGCGATATGTAATGGCGACTGATGAAGATGATGGCGAATGGCGACTTCATTTTGTTTACATTGCGCGTGTTCCTTTACGGCAAAAATTTCCTTCCACTTTTATAATCACATATTTTTACCGAATTTATTTTACTAAATTCTTTGTTTTATATTCCTGACTTTTTCGAATAAAATTGGATGATTTTTTTTATAAATTTGCGTAAATTGAGCATTGAGAAATGCCCACATTTTTTTTTTTCACGTTACTGTTTAAAGCTATTCGACACTAGATGGCGGTATTAGTCTAGCGCCATCTTGTGGGGAGTAGCTAAATTATTTTATTCAATGTTGCTTCCTACTTTCTAAAATAAAAACAGATGGCAGTAGTGGTCTAAAAATATTATTTTGCGTTTTTTAAAACTAGGTGTATGAACCATGAACAAACATGAGTTTTCTAATTAATATTGATGTTTTAATATAAAATCCATTTTGTTAAGCAACTTAGAACTTGTTTGGAATTTAAACGCACGCACGACGTCGTTCCATGCAACTACAACTGAGACAGGGCTACGAAAACGCGTGCCTAGTGACCTACGATACTACCAATGCTACGGACATTTTTATTTTATAACCATTCGTAGTAAATTTTAAATAGTGTCAATTTTAAACAATGGATATTGGTACCCTTCGTGCCCGTGTGACAGAGCTTTTCTGAGACTTCTTTTAATAAAATGGGATCAAAGTAGTTACCGTGTACTTACGTGACACTGGCTGCTGGAACGGGGCCCCATCCCATCAAACTGAAATTAGATATGAGGGAGGATGTGCTCTTTCATTCATTGAGTATTCCTCCTCAGCCTCTTTATTTTTATTCAGACTTCAGACTTACAATTAAATAAAAGTCTATTCAGTCTATCAATAGTAGTTTCTGACACGACATAGACAGGAAGATAGACAAACGCAGCAGGGGACTTCCATTCATAGTTTATTTCTACGGATGATGATTAATAAAAGTTAACAACCAAAATAGTTTCCACTCTGTATGTTAATGAGTTAACAACAACCAATAAAAAGCTCTTAGTGTAAGTNCCAATACTACGGGCATTTTCATTTTATAACCGTTCGTGGTAAATTTTAAATAGTGGCAATTTTAATCAATGGAAATTGGTACCCGTGTGACAGAGCTTTTCTGAAACTTCTTTTAATATAATGGGATCAAAGTATGGGTACCGTACCTACGTGACATTGGCTGGAACGGCCATCCCGTCAAACTGAAATTAGATATGAGGGGGGAGGATGGGCTCTTTTATTCATTGAGTTTTCCTCCTCTGCCTCTTTCTTTTTATTCAGACTTACAATTAAATAAAAGTCTATTCAGTCTATCAATAGTAGTTTCTGACACGACATAGGCAGGAAGATAGACAAACGCAGCAGGGGACTTCCATTCATAGTTTATTTCTACGGACGATGATTAATAAAAGTTAACAATCAAAATAGTTTCCACTCTGTATGTTAATGAGTTAACAACAACCAATAAAAAGCTCTTAGTGTAAGTGTGATTTGAATAATTTACTGCAACCGAGCCGGACTTACGCTTACGTGAGTGTCAGATTACGGGCAATGGTAATTAATTTAGTCGGAATTTCTACAACTTTATACGAAAATGTTCGGCCATTAGTTAGCCACCCCCTTGTTGGGGTAACAACATAGCGTGCGCGGCAAAAGATTACCCGTAAAACGCTGAACTTTTAAAACCTTTTAGCCCAATTTTTAAACAATAAGGCTGATTTTAATAGTCTACCTATTCATGAATTGTTTCATTTTATGGCGTAGGTAATTGTTATTTAATCATTTTTGCAATAACTTTATCAGGTAAACCTTCCCAAAATATTCTAGTGACATGAAAGAATCCAAACTATTTTTATATCGAAAACTGTTTCACTCCTCGGAATTCTACACCGAAAAGCTTTTTGTCACTTAAACCTACTTAACTAAATAATAACTTTTTGTGCTAAGGATGACCGCGCATTCAGCATTTCAATTAGCTGCCGGCTTCAGAATACTGGTTCTTCCGCTTATCGTACTAGAGACGAATTTACTTGGCAACGGGTTATTTTTTGCAGCCGCCATCGGATTTTCCTCGGTCACGATGTTCGCGAATTCGAAGTCAACAAACCGGTCCGCGGGCGTCACGCGTGCCCGAATGTTTAACTTCACCGGCGTCTAAGTAAAAGCGCCACATTCAGATGTATAGGTAGGTATGTATTTATTTCATGCTAACGCTGAAAGTAGTTGGTACCTACCTACTATCAGGTACTACAATATCTGAGTAGGTAGACACATGTAGAAATACCTGAGAGTACCTATGTTTCCTGATAGACGAACTTTTAAAGAGAATTAATGAAAGGAAGGAAAGGAATAATAAGTTCTATGCAAAAATATTCATCAAGTTAATAAGCTTCATGAAAATCTTGCGTTCAAATTAACCTACTAATATTATTTAATTTTACCTTTTAGAACGCAAGTTTGTCAGGACAACAAACCGGATGGTTAACTCTTTCAGTAAGAAACTACTAAACCAAGTTTACTGAAACTTTCAGTGTGCTTGCATTGCAGTAAGATAGCTAAGCTACGTAGTTTAGAATTCCGTACATAAGTTTTGTTTAAGGATTATAAATAAAGTTTTAAGGCAACCGAAGTCGCGAAACGTCCGCTATTATTTTAGAACTTTTTGGTAGGATACTGTATAACATACTGAATGAAACTAAAACTTAGCTATACCAATTTTGCATAGTTTATTAGTAAAAATTTTCTTGATAGAAGGGACGTTTTCTATGTAGATAGAAGGAGCTTTATAGCACAGTTTATAGTGTAATATAAGTTTAAAGTTCCTGTGTGCCTACTTCTACTTCTATTTGATAAATGCTTTGACGGGTCAGACGGGGCATAGATAAAATCAATAACAGACACAAAATAAATTATAACTACACTTCCAGCGTTGCCAGACGTCCCGATTTTGGCGGGACGTCCCGATTTTTAAATCAAATTTAAGTGTCCCGCGCGGGACAGGCTCGGTCCCGCTTTTCGGAGAGAGACACTCACTTCACCAGACTATTGTTTGAAACGCCATATTATTCTAAAGAATATTTTTTTATTATTTTTTTTCTTTTTTTATTCTAAAGACGAATTTAACGATAGAGTAAATCTGATCTAAAATATTATTTTTTTGTTAAAATACATTTTCTATGGCTACTTTTGCTATCTATTGTCACGTAAACGTAATTTTAAGGGCTGATTTTTCAATCGTCGGATAACTTTTAACTGAAGAATAAGTTTGACACATTGACAGTTTTAGTATGGGAAATATGCCAAAATGACAAGTTTATTCTTCAGATAAAAGTTATCTGACGATTGAAAAATCAGCCCTAAGTCAAATAAAAAGATAAATATTTGAAAACCTTTGATTATATACATTTTTTTACTATGTCCCGCTTCTGACGGAAGAATCCCGCTATTTTCACTCAAAAAGTACCAAAGTCCCGACTTGGCGAAAAAAAAAACTGGCAACGCTGACCCTAACTTACACCCACCATTCCGGTAATAATGGTCTTATCACTAAAATCCGATCGCAGACGGACAATGCGCGTCGCAAGGTTGTGTTGGAAACAGTTGAAATTAACTGCGTTCCCCTGGGCGATACGCGCCGGGTCTGCGGCGCCGCCAGCGGGCCAGCGGAGCCCGACCGACGGCATTCGGCACCGACCCGCCGCGCGACGATCACGCCAGTCCTCGATACGCTCCGCACTGCGGCGGTACCCTCCACCACCAACGTTAACTGTCACTCACTATCGTGAAATTAACTCGGAAGCTGAATAAAGTGCCCGCCGGAACCTGTTACTGTGTGTGTGCGCTTTGGGAAAACCCGCGAATTCAGTGTTTTCATTGGCAACGCGATCTTCAGGCTCATATTGACGCCAAATTGAATCGTTTCGAACAGGTAAGACAACAAACACTTGAGACAGTTTCTGTTAACGAATCGATTGGATAACGTTTGATAAATCTGATCTAATACTCAGGTTGGTAAATTAAAGAACTTAATATTCAAATTTTTTTGGAGTTATGGTGTAGTAGAAGATTTGAGACAAACATAGTTACTAGATTATTTATTTGTGTTTGGTTGGAAATTATAATAGTATTTTCAGCTCAAAATTGTGGACAGTTAAATACTATATTAGTACTAGGAATCCATAGGAAATGACTGAACTACTGTGTGATTTTCTAGACAGCAATCACCAATCTGATTTAATGATATCCCCTGTGGTTAATTTGTGTATTGCTATTTTTATAACCAATACTGCTGCTTAGTTTATCAATGTCCGTCAAACCAGAGGAACCCTGGCACATAAGAATAACGAGGACCTCCTAACACGTTTCTTGTAAACCGGTTCATCTGATTCCCGCTGTTCCGTCGTGGAGCCTTATGCAACGCGTAAATACCTAGACTGATCTTTGAAATCATGACCGCACCTAGTCGAAGAGCGAACGGAATATTAATAAATACCATACATTACGATGAAGTCATGCAAATAAACAAAGCGTTTTTATGTAACCGTTTATCGAAGATGTAATAGCATAGACATATAAATGTTATTGGCTATTGCATAGCGATGACTCGCCCGCCGCAATGTTTAAGTTAACAAAGTTATGTGTTGTATTGTAACAGAAAATACAACGGATTCTATTAAAATTCAGTGTGCAAGATTCCGTAAAACAGCTGGCGAAGTCGCAGAGTGCGGCGTTTGTTGCGGTGCGCTGCAGGCGACAGCTGCACCTCCACGTGTCCCCATCACAATGACTGATAGATTATTGCAACCCGCGGACACATTGTGTTTACATTACAAAAGATACGTGAAAAGAATTCCGAGAAATCAACAAACACGACCGAATGCAAAAAATAAGGTGTTTTGATTGCAAAACGATATCACGCGAACAATTATTATAAAAGCAAATCTGTAACTAAATGTTATTCGTAATAACACAGAATACATAATAGAAGCTCATTGGGTTTTCCCTGGTGTTGTTGATTCTAATAAATTCTGTTTAAAAATGTTACTGATTTGTAACTTAGTTATGAAGAATCATGAAGGTTGAAGGTTAGAAAGAAAAGTAGGAAAGCAACAGTTTCGAGTGTTGAACCCTCG